TTTAACGTGTGTTAAATAATCAATTCTAATTGATTTATTCTAATAAGAACTAATTTATAAAATATCAATGCTCTTAATTTTAAAACATTGCAATAATGGCTATTACTGAAAACAAAGAATTTAGCAAAACAATTGTTAATGTTTTTGAAATACTAACCATATCTAAACGTTTTAATATTACTCTTTTGGTTTCAAAAATTATTTTTATAAAAAAGCAAACAAATGTACTGTACTGTACATAATAAATCAGCAGAATTAAGAAATACGTGACATTAAAAACAAAATTCAATTTAATCATACTTCTTACTTTTTTATATTTTTAATTATGAAATTATTTAATACTATTTAGAAGTGTAGATATTTTAACAACCTTAACTGGAATTTTCTCCATTTAGGCAAACTAATTTCTCTTTTCCTTATTATTTTAGTTGACTCGGAAAGTTCCCATTTTGGGGAAAAATCTCCAATCTGATTTCAGCATTTCTGATTTAATTTGCCAGAAGAAAAGAAGCAGACTAAATGCTGTGTTCGAATACTTCTTTTCGTAAATTAAAATTTGCAGGTGGAGAATAATTATTGATTTATCTATTATAAGGTAAAACTCAATATTAATAAAAAGAAGTTACTGTAAAACTCAAAGTCTGAAGTTTCATTTCTTAGTGAATTGTTTTTCTTTTGACTGTTTTTTTTTTTTTTTTTTATCAATTTTTTAATATATAGAAATAAACAAAACAAGCTTAAATAATAAATATATAGCTTATTTGGTTAAAACGTTATTTAATAAGATAATTAAGTTCACTATCCATTCGGGATATTCGAATTTGAAAATAGTGATATTCGAATATCTATATTATTAATTTACATAAATAAATTAATAATAAAAAATCACTTAATGCATGCCTATACTGTTTATTTTAGTTGAAACAATACATTTCGCGTGTGTTATATGCGGTCAAGATGCGTTCGCTGGTTATTATGCGAATTGTGAATGCAAACCACTTCTTATGTATTGTTTTTATTAATAGATGTTAGTCTTACTGTATTGGTGAAAACGGTTTATGTATGTACAGGTATAGTTAAGTGTGAATTCAAGTTTGTCAGTTTTGCTAAGCACAACTTTTCTTCGAGAGAGGTTTTAAGCCGATATGTTTTGGAGACACGTTTTGGTGAAATTAGAAATACTTTTGAAAGTCACGATACTTTGGAGAGTGAAAATATAACGCCTAAATCAGGAATTAAACAAACTCTTATCGCAAGAAGTTTTTCTCTCTCTCAAATCACCTGTTTTATCAAAGCGATAATTCATTAAGAGAAAGCAAATAGCAAATAAAAATTTTTTTTATAAAAAAGATTTATTGTTTCATAATGAATAATACAAAATCTAAATAAGATCTGTAGTTATATTCTCTTATGACTGACCCAGTGACTTGAATAATAAGTCACTAGATCATTTTGTAGGAAATACGCATCTGACTATGATTTTCCAAACACTTCAAATTTCGATTTTTCTTAACTTATGTGAAACATCTCCATGAACAAGTACGTAATAAGACACACAAATCTATAAATAACAAAATAAATTATGAAGAACGATGCACATCATTCTAAGAATTTTATTAGAAAATTTTTACGATAAAAATAATCGATACTGAATTATATGTTTATGGTTTTATTTTCCTTGTGTACTTTAATTTTAAACAATTGCTAAATTACATAACTCTTACAGAAAGTGATATTAATTAAAACTTTAACGACAATAATAATAAAGTTTATAAAATAATTTAAGCAGTATCATGAAAAGTTTAACATATAATCTGACATGTGAAATAATAAGAATAAACAAGAAAGAAAATATTGAATAAAATACTCTATATATAATCATTATTGCAAAATTTATCGGTAATAACTTAAGCTATTAGTTGTATTCATAATAACTAGGCCTAATACTGTACTTTTTAAAATTTGGCATTAGTAACGCAGAAGATAACGTCTAAACAATCATTTTCTATTAATATCGGAAAAGAAAATGAAATAGTGATATAAAATTCAATGTGACCTTAAAAAACAGTTACTTTATGTGAATGTAATATAATGAAATGAGAGCACAAAGTTTAAAATTTTAAATGACAAATGATCACATTAGACTCTCAAGATTTGCCTATCTCTAACTGCAACTTAACAAAAACAAATAAATCAAAATACATATATGCATATTAACTATAAACAAAGGTGTAGACAAAAACGTCAAGCTTTATCTTTCTTCTGCTATTTGTCAACTAAATACAAATGATATTTTTAGATTGTTGTTTACATTTACAAAAATCCAAGAATAATTAATTGCCAGACGCAAATAAACAGTAGACTAAGTATAATGAATATATTATGATTAGTATAAAGTATAGTAAATATATACATTATATTTACTATACTTTAGACTAAGTATAATGAATATATTATGATTAGTATAAAGTATAGTAAATATAATGTATATATAATGAAGTAAATCTCTATAGAATATAACGACTAAAATTTATCGATAGAATGTAGATAAACACAAAATATGACAACGTCATAGAAAAGAGATCCTAAGATCTTCAAGAAAATTATTTAGCAAGAATTGATATTTTATCGTAGGCTATTGCTAGTAAAATAATTATTATAGATGGTATTAGTATGGAATTTCTCAATTTCATATTATAGTAAGTTATTCCTCAGCCAAACTGTTCAATTTGTTTTTTTTTTTTTTTTTTTTTTTTTTTTNAGTAATAATAATAATAATTAATAAATCTTCAAAGTATACAGGTTTTAATTGTTTACGTTAGAACAAAAAATGTATATTTTTAAAATTTACACACATTTACTTGAATGTACTCAAAGATTGAGACATATCCTTTAATAATGGACTCAATAAACCAGAATTTTCACTAATTTTAGTCTTATTTAATTATTCTAATTAATGTTATTTGGTTATTTATTTTTTAATCAGTATAAGCAAGTCCCAAAGTGACCATATAAAGTTGATTCTATTATATTAATAGAAAGCAGTTTAAAAATTTCACTGAACATTTTGACAATGTGGATAAAAAATATTTAAGTCAAAATATAGTAAATTATTTTTGTGCCAATAGAATTATTATTTTAAAGTTTTAAAAATTCTCCAAACATATATTGTACATTCAGAAATAAAGAAATCTTTAATTTATTTTCTAAAGAAAGAAAAACAAATACAATAAACCAGTTTAAAATTCAACTTCAATTTTAATTTCTAATTTGACGTTCATATCAATAATTTAATAACAGTTTGATTCCAAAGTACCAAATAAGTTTTGGAAACATTTTGTTAATTATCCATGTTAAATTTTCCATCAATAATTCTGATGAAAATCTTTTTCATTACAAATTTTCTAGCAATGAAATAATCCCAAAACTGAACATTTATATTTACATATTTTTAACAAATAAATTAATGAAACTTATACAATTAATAAGTTATAATTTATTTGGTTTATAATCACTAAAAAGATATTTCTGTACAAATAAAATCTTTCAAATAAAAGTTGCCTTGTGAATGATTTTCAAAAAAAGACATAACTATTCAATTAAAAACAAAAACTTATGAATTCAGAAATTGATCTTCATTAAAACATTCTGGAATTATTAAAATTTAAATCCATTTGAATGTGCTATCATTTTAATATTCTTACAATGGGACAGTTTATTCATGCTGTGAAAACAACATGCAACTGAACACTCAAATTTTCAACATTCCCTTTAAGAATTTTTAAAGAAATGTCATTTATTCACATTAATGCAGTAAAAAAGTTAAAAAAAAATAAGCGTTGTTTAGCTTTCACATTAATATTCTTACAATGGGACAGTTTATTCATGCTGTGAAAACAACATGCAACTGAACACTCAAATTTTCAACATTCCCTATAAGAATTTTTAAAGAAATGTTTTTTATTCACATTAATGCAGTAAAAAAGTTAAAAAAAAATAAGCGTTGTTTAGCTTTCACAGTTTTCTTGATACTATGCGACCAAAAATAAAAGCATAGGACTCATGGAAAGCCCATAAAAATTATTACATAGTAACTAAGAATATTTCTAACCACGAACACCCCACGCTTTTATTTTTGGTCGCATATTATCAAGTATAATGTGAAGGATGAAAGAATTATTTTTTACTTTTTACTGCATTTATAAAAAGCGTTTCTCTAAAAGTTTTAAAATAATTATTATTTATTCATTTTTTTAACTATCAATGCTGACATTGGTGTATTAAAAATAAAATTCTTTTTATTTTAACGGCTGTTACAAAATGTAACATAAGAAAAGTATGATTATCGGTTAAATGTAGACCCTCCACTTTTTTGCATTTCTCGAAATTTTACACTTAAGGAGCCCAAAATTAAAAACGTCCCAAAATTCTGTATGTATGTTTGTAGTATTGTGTGTATTGGCGTTTATTTTGCGTTATATCTCAAGATTCGATGATAAACCAAAAAGTTTAAAACTTGGCACGGTTATTTCTATTTATGGATTATAGATGCTATTGAATCTTGGCGGTTAAAGATCAAGGGAGTAGAAGATATAGAAGATCGTGTGTCGTATCTCGAATGGCGACAGATTCAATGAAAATTTTACTGGTTATTAGTATTTACAATTTTTTTTTAAAACTATCTCTACTCCCTAAATTAAGTACTGTATTTTGTTTTTTTTATAATAATTAGTATATAAAAATTGTGCGCCAAATCTTATGAGAACAATCTCATAACATTTGGTGCCACACACAATGTTAACTTTGTGCTAATGTATCTTACTTGTTAGTATTTTAAATAACTAAAATAGAATATGTAGGTTATAGACGAATCCTATTTTTTAATGAATATATTAATTAAATATACAAGGTACTGATCACAAGGTACTGTATGCCGAATAATTGAAAGGCAGAATTATTGAGGGTCGGATTAGCAAGAATCTGGTGTAAGTTATATTAACCTACATTTTTTGAATGATGATATAATAAAATAAGGACACACGTTTTTATCCTATTATAAATTGTTTTTAATAAGTAAGAATGGAGAAAACTCAATAGTAATAAGTGATATTACTTACATTAACAAACTCAGCTATGGTTCCATTTTTTTTCTTATCGAGGAAAAGTGCATACTCTCCGCAGCCAGAAATTCCATTAATTTCCTAATCAACGATAGTTTCTTTATAGTGAAAATAAAAAAATATGGCAAGTAATAATTAGTAACAATTTACTTACATAGAGGTCAAGGTCACAAATTTCATCGAACATTTGCTCTATTGTTAAGTCTTTTCCTCTCTCACTCATAGATTTGTAACAATTTTGTAAAATGTCAAAACTCTTTAAAAAATGTTAACATGTTAATCCATTAAAAAATTAAAAATATTTAATATTAATCAATTTATTTAATATACAGTAAAATTTTTTCTTACTCTTGTAGAAAAATGTTTCTGAGCACATTCTTTAAGTGAATTTCTATTTCTCAAAGCTAAAAAAACAAAAAAAAAATGTTTATAAACATAAGTAAATAGATTTAACCTTATCTAAATTAAATTAATATTCCAAAATATAAATGAAAAGTTTACCACAGTAACGATCCAAATAAGTATTTGGACACGATAAATGAAAATAATAACTAGTAACACAATGCAGTAACGTAAAGAATAAAAACAGTAAACACTTATGATTCATTTTGCGAAGCGATTTTCAATTAAGTGATGTGGAAATAAAATACAGGTTTTAAGTAGAATATTTATATATAATTATTTATTTATTTATTCCATTTTTTAAATATAAATCTCAACCAATCAATATCATTTTATCGAAGGTTAACAAGTATAATGACGCGTTTATTATCATTAAACGAACTTGTTAGCCCAAAAGTTCAATTAATGTTTAAAAGGCAAGCAAATTTATAAAACAAACAAATTATTTCGTTTTTATATTGAATACAAAAAATACAATATCTTCGTTCTTCGTATACTATTAAAATTATTTTAATTGTGAAAAATGATAAATAATAATACTTATTTCAATTAAATAATTAATTACTTGAATAAATGTATTATTAATTAACTTTATTAAAATATATTTATAAAACAAAATATATTAATTTTTAAGTTATAAACAAATTTTTTCAGCTGAGACTTACGAAAATATTTTTGTTGTCAATATTAATATAATTTATAATAAGAAAATAATTATACTGTACTCGTAATTTATTATACTCATATTTTAGCATTATTTGTCCTTTTGTTATTTTAATGCAGGTAAACTTTATTCTTAAAATATCTCATCGTAAATCCAAGAAAATCGTGTTTGTAAACAATTATATAAAATTTATATAATATTGTAGCTTGTATGTATATATAGATATAAATCTATCGCTAATTTAGAATACGCTAACTCCATTCATACAGCATATCCATCTCGTTTATTTATATGAATAAAATATTGTTTTAGATCGTCAAACAACTCTACAATATTCAATTTCGTATAATTTATCCTTAATATTAATAAATCCGCTAACAACATTTNAAGACAGGATTAAGGTTTAACACTTTCATCAACAATGGATATGTTAAGTAACAATGGAATTGTTAATAGAAAGCGACGTGCAAGACGCAGATGCAATTGTAGCTTGTATGTATATATAGATATAAATCTATCGCTAATTTAGAATACGCTAACTCCATTCATACAGCATACCCATCTCGTTTATTTATATGAATAAAATATTGTTTTAGATCGTCAAACAACTCTACAATATTCAATTTCGTATAATTTATCCTTAATATTAATAAATCCGCTAACAACATTTGGTAATAGTTTAATATAAAAGTATTTGAACCCCTTAATAAACTTATGTTTTGTGGTCGATTGAATATTTAGCACTAACGCCAGAGTTTATTTGTTAACCTCGTTGTTGTCCTTTATAATTGGTTAAACCAACAGTGAAATCGATGGTAATGGATTTGAGCTGTGATATGAATCTTGTCATTTACCAATGAAAAATCAAGGTCTGTTAAGGCTCGAACCGAGATCTTTTGCGATGGTGAAAACCATTAGAATTCTGAGGTTTTACATATCAGTATATGAAAGACCAGTGGGCGTTTGACAGATTGTTCTTCTATGTAGTCTCTACACGTTTTTAATACATAAATATTTGTTATAGCTTTTTCTTAATTCCGAAAATGACGTTACTAAATTACAGATAGATTACACGTTTCTGCCTTAATGTATGTAAACTTTGTAAATATAAAAATACGAAAATAATAAATTTACTTATATATTTTACCCAATTTTTTCTACTAATTTTTTAATAAAGATTTATACAACATTCATTTAAAATGCCAATAAAAAATACAAAATGATTTTCTCATACTCTAAAGAATTATAATTGCAAAGCTTTTATGGAACAAAATTAATCTATATTTTTCATTGTAAACATTTTTATTAAACATAACTTTCTATCATATGTTTATCATAAAAACATTTTCTTTACGTTAATAAAAAATAAGGAAGAATGGCCAACGTCATTGTGTTTATGAAAATTCTTTTATTTAGATTAAATTTACTATTTCCTGTTTTAAAAATTCAATTTTATTTTTAACTTAATATATTTTCTTTTTTTCCTCCTTGTTTGTTTGTTACATCTGGGTCAGATAAAATGCCATATTTTATTTATAATAAATATAGTTACTAGCTTATATATCTAATAGACAAATATAATAACTATATTTATTTATTTTAATTTTTGTAATATTTTAAAATTACATTAAAAGTGTTTCAAATGTTCTTAACTTGATAAAAATAGGAAAAAATTATTTCTATAGGTAAATAATTGAATAAAAATTATTCGTGCTTCTTAAACACATCTCGAATATTAACATTTACTTCCCGTTTATCTGAAATCGTTTTTATAATTTTATCCATAAATTTTCAGTCATAAAATAAAAATTACAGTCTTATTCTGCATTATAACCGAAAGTTTTGATTCAATGCAAAAAATTAGCAAAAATTATGGTACTGAAATTAAATTATAAAATAGTGTATTTTGTTTATTCGTACGTGTCGAAACAATAAAATTGGCGAGAAACTTCAAGAAGTAATACTATAATTCTATGTAAAACCATTAATAATTCATGTTTTGATAGGAAGTAACTTTCATTTAGGTAAGTAGTTCGGTTCTAAAAATTAACTGGGTGTCCTTAAATATCCATTTTAATACGGTTTTAAATACAGGTTTACAATAATAGCCTTAATTATTTTATTTATTTTATAAGTATTAATCAATTATTTTACAAATATATTACAGATTAAAATTTTAAATATAGTTGTTACAATTTATTTCATAAAATTGTAATATTAAAAAGTTTGATTTGCTTTCTATAAATTCACAGAAAATGTTTTTTTTTCTTTTTAATTCGCTTATAAATATTTCATGGTCTGAAAGTAATTTTATTTTCGTACAAAATTAATCATTACATTTCGATTTAAAGAATGTTTTTAAACATAAAATATACAGGGTTTTTCAAAAGAAATGAGTCATGGGAGTCTGTGGATAAGCTTGTAGACAAAGCATCCGGAACAAGTATATAGACAGTATTGGCGCCAAACATCTGGACCATCAAAGTCGAACTTTTTCTCGTCACTCCAGGTGGTTTTTTTCCCTTGCTCGTCCAGCTCATTTTTTCCTTAGCTCATAGTAAATCTTTCTCCTTGTGAGTGGGCTTTTAACGATTGGGCTGATTTTCTTGACTCATAAAATGCCGTCATGTCCGCATAACTCTTCTAATAGTTGTTTTGCCAGCATTACACTCGGGCGTTGTTGATAACTTCCGAAATGACGTTTTGTTGCTGGCAATCTGGTGAACAATGGCTCGTTTTGTCCTGTTTGTAAGCTTTGAAGGGCGTCTCGTTTATTTCTTTCGACCATATTGATCTCCAAGTTAATAAAGTTGTTGATTATAGTGAATGGTAGATTTAATTTTTTAGCAATTGCTCTTTCAGAGTAATTTTCATCTCTAACAGCTAGAATTTCACCTTTCTCTAAATCTGTTAGCGATTTGCCTCGGCCCATCACTAAGTTACTAATCCTAATCAACTAGTCATTTTTAGTAGTTTCTGCTAGGTTAATGTTAACTTTGGTATCTTAATATTAACTTGTCATAATATTCTTGGGACAGTCAACCTCAAGCTAATTTTGAAAATCGTTTTCTTCTTTAATATATTATTTTTAAAAATATTTTTTGATAGTTTAAATAAACTAAAAGTCAACAGGATATACACTTTTTTCTATTTGAATGATTTATACGTGTCTTTATACTCACGAGAAGCACCTTAGTTCTATATCTGACCGGTATGTTGTAAGGATTAGACCTATTTGTTTTTAATACTTGGTATGCAAATGATAGCAAGAACACGACACATTATCGTTTATTTCGTTATAATTATTTTTCGTTTTATCTATATAGATAATCGAGATGGGTTGATAATAATAATAATAATAATAATAATAAACCAGAGCCCAAACGGTTAGGAGTTGAAAGTTGAAATTTGGTACACAGTTAGGGTACGTCACGAGAACGCACACTAAGAAGGGATTTTTCGAAATTCTTCCCCACGGGGAAAAAAGACAGGATTAAGGTTTAACACTTTCATCAACAATGGATATGTTAAGTAACAATGGAATTGTTAATAGAAAGCGACGTGCAAGACGCAGATGCAGTTTTTTTTCGTTTTGCGGGAAATCGAACATATTTTTAGACTAAAAGTTCTCTAATCAGTCCGGAATCAGGGGGACCCAATTCTTGCATTCTGTGAAAACGGGTAAGGTTGACTATAACGTAATAATCTTAATCTTCGCTATCGTTACTTTTGCCCGAGCAACGCCGGGCCTACCTGCTAGTTTATAAATAAAAGTAAACATAATAATAAAAAATCAGAATATATTGTCTATTAAATAGAACATGTTCAATTTTAATAACATACCTAGTTGTGAGGTACAGAACTATGCAGCTGGATTACATTAATTGGAAGTGATTCAACCATGCAGTGAATTTTGTGCAATTAATTTTCACTTTACAGTATTACAGACCCGAAATAATGCAACATATAACCGGTACATTACACTAACTTATATACTTGTCCCTGATGCTTTGCCTGACAGCTTCCCTGCACCATCTCCTACGGCGCATTACTTTTGAAAAACTGTATAAAATATCATAAAAACATGAAAAATAACTGGATTCAAAGAATTCAAACGGAATTTACTGATTAAGTGCATCGTAACCCATCGTAATGACGTTTGAAAGAAAAAAAAATTGCACTGATTATTTAATGATATATGCAGATTATGCAATTAATATAATGGCACATAAAGGTTTAATGATAAGATGCTTTTAATAAAATGCGGGCTGCAGATAGGACTGTCCAGTGGCAGACAAGCAAGATACACATTAGAGACCCTTCATCTCAATTTGAATCCTTCGTCAATATTTATCAATGGATTCATAACTCTTACTCTCGGCTTTGGCTATTAATAAATTATATTAGGGATTGAGAGATTACTTGCTATTCCTGTAAAAGAGTATATTTGGGCTATTGGAAGTTGCAGAAAAATATAGTGAGACAGACAGTTGGTTTCCTAGAACGCTTTAAGCACATTCAATAGGTTCGACCAATTAATGACTAATTGATACGTCTTATGGTTTCACTTTCGATGTATTTGTCTTTTAAACCAGTAGTAAAGACTACTGGTTTAAAAGACCATTAACTACTGGTACCGCCCATTAACACAGCATCAAGGCATATTGACGCTAAAAATAGTATGTTCAAGGACACATCGCAATACCTATCATCTAATAGAATATTTCCTAAAAATTTATGAAAAGGTGTATACCTTTTCATATATTTTTAGGAAATATTCTATTAGATGATACTGTTCAGGTGTATGACTCCAAATAATATGAAAAGAATTACGAAAAGGTTTATAATTTCAGGCTACTCTATTATCTCTAAAATTATATATTGAATATTTCCAATATGTTTGTGAATTGTTATCGAATTTTAAAGCGCACGGATTAAAATTTAAACCCAACAAACAGCTTTTATAACACCATCCTTAAAAGACACCTTCCAGCAGTTTCGTGGTGGTAGTTTACTTCCGTCACAAAACTACAATTCAGGAAAATAGCTGAATGTTTTATTTTTTTAAATGTTATTACATTTTTCATGTAATTAACTTAGTGAGTTTATGTATTTTTTACTGCTTTTAATCAATGAAGCTCCCTATAATGCTTTAGTGGTGCAAAGAAGTACTCTGATCCCCGTAAGGAAAAATAATAAACATTCCTAAATAAATAAATAAATAAAAATAAACAAATAACTTTAAATTTATGAAATATCTGACAGAACGTAGAAAGACAGCCTAATGGCTTCAGCTGCACATTTTTATAATTGTAACTGCTACGTACTGGAAAAGTTACAAGATTTCTGATGCACATAACAAATTAGTAATTGAGGGTGTTAGTACGTATTACTCAGGGGGCGCCAATGTCCTACTTTTCCGTAATAGTTTAATATAATTGCAATAATTTAACAATATCCGAGTAAAAAAATTTGTAATAAAAGATATATTTTTGCTTTATGAGAAAGTATTAATAGTACAAAATTGAAAAATTATTAAAAAATAGTTTTACAATATATCCATTAATATATCTAATATTAGAACGAAGACCTAAAGAGATGTCACTTTTTATAATTCTCAACAATTGAAACTCTCGAATGCTTTTTGGCTTACAATCTTAAAACATCTCCATAGATATGGGAATAAAACATAGAGCAGACCTACAAATAATTTTTAAGAAATGTTAATAATTCTATACTTTTTAAAACATTTAAATAGAATTAATCAAAACATAACAGTGTATAGGCTTATAATTACTTTCTTATTTTAAAAAATACTTCTTAATTAAATTAAAGTACTTAAAATTTTAATTATTAAATTAAATCCCAAAAACATACTGTAAAGACGTTGTGAAGTTTGAATAAATAAATTTTATGTGTTTTGTTTGTATCAAAGAGGAGGCTTAAGGCCCCTAACCTTCCCATCGTATCTGTCACTGCCGCGTGGATTTCGGCGCGGGAGACTACGTGTGAAAGATTCTAAGCAAAATTGTCGATTTTAAATCGAACCTACTCCGAATTACCATATATTTAACTTATTTGCAATATGAAAACAATAGTTTTGTGAACATTATTTTGAAAATTATCGGTAACTGACTGTATATAAAGTGACTATACTGTAAAGTACCAATTGTGTCTTGAGTATTAATTAAATTGCCTCAATGTCCTTTTTTCTTGTTAATATGTAAATTTTCGACTATAAATTCGTATCTTCTATTATCAGGACTTATTATACTGATTTTACAGATAATATTACAAAGATTAACAGAAAACAATTTTTATTTTATTTTTTATTTTTTATTTTATTTCATATACTAGGTATATGAAATAAAATAAAAATTGTTTTCTGTTAATCTTTGTAATATTATCTGTAAAACCAGTATAATAAGTCCTGATAATAAAAGATACGAATTTATAGTCGAAAATTTACATATTAATATGTCTTGAGTATGTTTCCAAGATAGAAAATATATCGGTAACAAGTTCGCAGATAATAAATTGAAAGATGTGATATGATGTTGCTTTTTCCAAATCCAGACATCGCGTATTATGAGGGAAATCTCTCAGCTGTCGACTTTGCGACAAAGACCTAAACACGATTATCGAAGTCAATTTCAATGGTTTAAATTGTCGATATCCAAGACGGCATCCAAAAGAAAATGATGGAAAATTAAAATCTGTGTACTGAATGAAAGGAAGAGTACATATAATTCCCAACCTTGCATGCGTAGGGACTTTACGACTAAATTATAAAAATCCACAAAGTAGTTACAAAGTTAAGTTTTCAGATTATTATGTAAATTGACGTATTATTAATATACTATCGCTTTCAGATTACCAAATTTGTCATTTTGCTTGCTTATTCTTGTTATACTTTATAAGAAATATATTTTATACTTCGAAGATGAATGAATATGTTCTGATTTAAATACCCACCAAATATCGAAAGAATAATAGATCTTTTAACAAATAGAATAATTTGCTAAGAACTGATTTATAACTGATTAATTTACTCTCTGTATATAAGGAAGAAAGTTTGTCGTATATTACTATTTAATTGTAGATAACGTTAATAAAATGTAGCAGAGTTTACAATGCTAATGAGTATAATTACTCATATTAGTTTTTGAAAACAAAAATTAGAATATATATACACGTATGTATGTATACATATAATCTTAAATTAATATTAGTTGAAAAAAAATGCTTTAATTTTTATTTTCACTACACTTTTAGGTTTTTATACATTCACTAAATTGTAAATTATAAATTGATGTTATTTAGAATATAGTATGCTTATATTTGAAATAATTTTCATATTACTGTATTCGAATTACTATAAAAAGATAAATGTTTACCTTATTTTCTTTTCTTTCGATGAAAAGAAGACAACTCTAAAAAATCAAACAATAAACTTGGTTATTTTGGTTCGTATAACTGAAAACTTACTGTAATGTGCGTAATAGGACTTAAGTAATAAAACCCTGAAAATTTATTAATCAATAAATTTATAAAGTATGACTTAAAATGAATTAACTAAGATAAATTTGTAAAGGAGTCAATGTCCGATCGTTATTTTATGTTTTGGGGCGTTATTTTTATTTAATTATTTTCTTTTTGGGGTTCTTTTTTTGTTAAGGACAAACTCCTAAGCACCAGTGACTATGAAAGTAAAAGCAAACTTAGTTTGCATCGGTGCCTGATCCTGGAACGACATCTTATGTAAATTAAGACAGTGCGGAGCTGCACTCGATGTAGAATAAAAGGCGGCACATCCACGACAGAGTTAGTTTTCAGGTGACAACTGTTGTAGAAACGTCTGGGATCAATTAGAGGAAACAGTATCTCTTTGCTGTAGAATCTCTTTTGAGGTGGAGATAAAAGTTTTGTTGAGTTGGATATTATAAGTATTATTGTCATTGATTTTTGTTGCAACTTTTCCAGTGTTCAATTATTTAACTTACTATTGGGACAATTAACCCATTATTGTTTTTTTGTCAAGCTAATAAATCTTATATGTATTGTGAATTATTATATGTGGTTGTGAAAATTATTGGTTATTTTTATTTTGGAAAGTCCAGGCCTGGTACTTGAACCCTACCATTGTGTAACCCCTGTTTGTTTCGTAAACGGTGAGTTACAAATTTGCCATTACGTAGCCTATAACAGCTTATAATTTCTCGCATAATTTATGTAAAAAATATTTTTGCAAGATAATTTATACAGGAAATTTTTACAAAAAAAATATCATTCAATAAAACGTATTATTTTCTATCAATATTAAAGAAATTTAATTTCCATGGATGTGTATGTATATATGTAGGCGTTTATTTGTTTAATATCTCAGGATAGGGTAAAGATTAATTAAGAAACAGAATTTGATATGGTAGCTTGTTTATAAGGGTCATTAACACTATTAAATTTCGCCGATTTAAAAGTTGAGAGATGGTGAAATACAGATAGTCATATCTCGAGTAGGGTCAAACTAAAGGAATTAATGCCTCAATGTCTTTGGTTTATTATAATATAATTATAGGACTTATTAGACGGGCTTATAATATAAGTCAGTCTAATAAATCCTGATAATAGAAAATACGTGCTAGTAGACGAAAAATACAAGGTCTGTTCAAAAAGTATCGGACCTTATTTTTTTCCGCGTAAACCAATGATGCGTGAGAGGCCTCCTTCGGTGGAGTTGTGGAGGGGACAGTCATGCACAGTCCTGAATTTTTTCCCGCCTGCAGGAAGCGTCAGTCGTTGGCAATCGGCGTATGAGTGAGGTCATGTAGTGCGCTCTCGTCGGATTTCACTAAGCTGGAAAATGACTGAACAACGTGAGCAGCGATATTACATCAAATTTTGCCAAAAACCTTGGCGATACCCGAGTGTAAACCATTCGCAAGATTCAGCAGG